TTTCCGAAGGAGGTATGTATTTCCCGCGCGTAATACAAAATGACTGAAAATGGCAAACTTTGCAAGGCTATATTATCCGTATTTTACAACATTTCGCAACGAAACTTCGGAATATTACTAATTTTGTGATGCTCTTTCAAGCTGTGATAAAATTTTTGTCTAGACTTGTTGAAATCTAAATTTTAGTCAAAAGGTGAAAGGTCCATTATATATTGAATTCTCAAGATGTCCTGTATTTTCGGAATTTGCTTTTTACTTTATGTACATACACAGTACTAATTTTGCAGGCTTACTGTGATCCGAGCCCCCAACTCAATAAAGGTCTAAAATTTAGGAGGGTGTTAAAAATTCAAAGTGTGTATTTCTATGTTGGGACACTCTCAAATATAACACTGTTATATCTGTCATTTGTAAAATATGTTTCCCCATGCAGGCTCCACGAAATCTCGACGGCCCTGTGTGAATATTTCGGAAATAATTACCTGCGAAGATGGTCCAATGTTAACTTTATTTCTGGCAATTCTGGTATTTGTGGAATAGGAATTTCTTTCAAAACATGTGCTTCCACTACAGGCGGTGTCACTACTCTGGCTGGAGATAATCCTTGGTTTACTTTGGTTATGATACCAACATCCATCAATCTCTTAAACAAATCATCTACTGTTTGTTTTTCCATTACTAAGTTGGATGGCGGATTTTCATCTGTAAAGAGGACAGAGCAAGTTTTAGTAAAGTTAACCGTTGTTTCACTGTAGTTATTTTATAAAACAATTACCAAATGGTTTTCCGTGCAGGATAGCGTCATCCATCTACTTGGGATGTTGCTCGACTTTCGTAAAAACCTCGTCTGAGGCTTGATTTTTAACGCTTTCCGAAAGTGTCGTAAAATCCCGCGCCATTTGGTATTCCTTTATTGTACCTACAATGTTCAGCTCTAAGCCCTTGGGGGCCTTTCACTGATGTATTAATTATATCAAGTATACTATTACATGTTATTGTATGTTTTATGAAGTAGTTAGCCCAGGCTATTCACGCATGTATTCAAATCAATAGTGCGAGAAAAGCCATGCAATACTGTCAACATAAAGTTGGCTCAAGCGGGATTTGAATTCGCATACTCAGCAAACGAGGCTGATGCTCGATTGAGCTATCGATCTAAGAAATCAGAGTACGTGAAAAAATCCACTCCACCAGGGCACAGAATAGGAAGTTATACCAGAAGCGCAACTCGAGCAAATATTTGTCCGCGTTTTTACAAGCGATTCGTCATCAATCACGCCATCCTGGCTAGTACAACCGGCACTTTGTACCTACCAAATCCTGATAAAATCTTCTGGCTGTACTAGCCAGGATGGCGTGGCCTGACGTGAGCGAGTTAAAATTTTCGTGGACGTCAAACAATAAGGGAAACGACTAGAGTTACGCTTCTGGTATAACTTCCTATTCTGTGACCAGGGCTACCAGGAGTGCCTTGATCTCATAGAGAAATTCGAACTTATGGTCTCAGTCAGAAGTGAATGGCAGTCGTGAATGTAGCAATGAAGAGAAAGCTCTAAAACGACAGACTGCGCTGAAAATCTAGCTTACATTGTATACGTAAGTCATGAGTGAACAACGGTCAAGCTTCATATAATCATATCCTATCCCGATGTTCAACATCATCCAATACAAATTGAGTTGAAAAGTTCCGCGGAGTAAAAGAAATCCGTCACTGGAAGACAATAATGATCTTACCTTCAGCAGGATGTATTTTTTCAGGTAGAACATCGGGTTCATGATTACGAGGTAACAGGGGATCAGCCATAGGAGATTGTGGTCTATCCTCTCCCGTCATGTCAGCAGGGTGAACGAGATGTGGTTGACGAGCCAACATATCAGATAGAGGTTCACCAAGCATCATTCTTTCTGGCACAGGCACTGAATGAAGAATGATAATAATTGTCATAAAGAAGGAAACCTATCAAGTTAAGGGCAAAGCGACTGTGACATATCAATTTATAACCGTTTCATGGTGTATTTATAGCGCCTGAAATTATGGTTGTGTGACAGAACGAAGCGGACAGTAATCATACTATTATAAACTGGGACGCAGTGTTAAAAAGTAGCAAAATGAATTTAACCAATGGAAGATCAGCTCAGGTACACAAAGTTTGGCCACATGTGAAGACATATGTACGTATGAATAACAAGCATTTGAAGATTGGGAAATTCATTCTAAAATACATTGTATTGGGGGACGTCCGTCCACTAAAACCCTCAAAACCCCATACATTTCAAAATAGAAAAATTAAAGCTCAGTAATCATCCTGTATTTATCCACTAAATGTGGTCAAATGTTGTGTTCCTACTCTTGAGTTGCTTTTTCTAGTGGTTGGGTTCATTTCCTCATATTGTTACTTCTAAACAGTAGGTCCTTCCTAGTATAGGTTCATCCTCAGGTTAAAGCTAACCTAGTTTCTGTTGATTTACTATAAATTCGCTAATCGGGTTCAACATGGGCTAGTTTGAAGTATACGATGCCATAGTGGAATTCAAACGAATCGGGATTTGGCGCATTTACACCTCAAAAAATTTACCGTAGTATGTATACATCAGGTCAGGCTAAATTTCTAAACATCATTCTGTTCTGTCAATTGACCGATTCAAAAAGTAGCCGCCACAATTTTGCATTATTTTATATGCATTACTAGGCTAATAAACAATATTTCAACAGAGATTTCTATTTAAAGGCAAGTGCAAGAGTTTAAGATTGAAAAAAAATCCATGTAAGCGAACGAGGCTAGTCAGTTTTCTTTGCTAAATCTAGCAGAAACTCTGGTATTTGAAAGATTTAATTCCTAAAAGATAATAGACAACTTGCATGTTAGACAAATTTTTGATCTAGCTGATCTAGGCAAAAAAAAGTAAATTCCCATTAAGAACTTATTAAAATTAGTAAACTTGCAAAATTTGGTTGCAAAATGTTGTAAAGCTTGGAAAATACAGCTTTGCAAAGTTTGCATATTTTCAGTATATTTGTATTACGCGCGGAATTGTTACCATTTTTGAGCCGAAAATGGTAACAATTTCCGCTCGTAATACAAATATAGTGAAAATATGCAAACTTTGCAAGGCTATATTTTCCAAGCTTTACAACATTTCGCAGCCAAATTTTCCACTTTTACTAATTTCAGTATGTTCCTTTTAGCTGTGGTGTTTGATTCCCTTTTCTCTGCTTAGATTAAAATTTGGTCTAACATGCAATGATGATACATGTAGGTATCATATTATATTTTGTAAAACTAATACAGTCTTGAAGTATTCCATAAGGCGGCAGTGATCACCTTGATCGAAATTAATTTCGGAAGAAAAAAGAATGACAACCATTTTTCGAATCGGTCTATATAGATTCTATTGACATTCGCAAAATAAATCTAGTTGAAAACTTAGAAAGATAATTGTGGCCTAGGACACAATTTGAACAATAATATTTCAATCAACAATGACTTACTTTGAATGCGATCATTATTTAAATGTGTATCAGGTGGTCTACTCTGAGGAGGAATGCCAGCAGCATGCGGGTGTAATGGAGGTTGAGGTGGCTCATGATGTGGTTGCATATCAAGACTACGACGACGTTGCCACTTTTGAAGTTCATAAAACTGATGAAGTTTTTCCAATAATTCATGGTGTTGTTCTAAAGATAGGTCACCTGTACGTAAACGATGCTCGGCCTAAATAATAGTAAAGTTAAACATTTTCAGTTCTATTAGTTTTGTTTTGCCATGCAGTACGACTTACGTATTTGTATTGTAATTTCTGGTACTCATTCTACACTACAGTTCATTCATTTAATAATATTACTAAGATTTACTACATGATTCTCAATATATTTTTATATCGTATATTACTTATGAGCAAGTTCATATGTTAGAACGCCTGGTATGAAGAGACGACCAATACTATATCATACAACTTACAGAATTGTGGTGAATGAAAAATTAAGTAGTTTCAGTAAACGTTACATTGCAGGCAACATATGGCGGTCAACCGCAGATGAATGTTGACACTTCAAGGAGCACAAAATCTCTCTTATTTTTTAGTTACTTGCTACCAATTCGCACTATTTTCCACCATCTGTTGTACATGCAGTATATACGCACAAAAACTTACACTTCTTAAAATTTCTGATTCGTTATCCAGTGCGAGTTCCATAGGAATTTCTAGCTCACCAGGGAAGTGTTGCGGAGGACGTAAAAATTCTCTCGGCATACCTCGAGGTGCAAATGGCGCATCTCGCGGAAGAGGAAAATGAGGTGGTCTGAGTCCTAGGTGAGGTCCTTGATTATCAAAGAATTCAGGTGGTGGTTGTCTAATGTTTTCATGTCGCCATGGTTCATGATATCCAGTTTGTTCAAACGGATGATCAGGTGAATCGTGACGTTTCTCTCGGATCTCGGATATTTCTTTTTCACTGAACAACGGTCTAGGTGGCGATGATCGTGATTTCTTAAACGGCGGTTCCTCCCCAGGACTACATTCAAACGCCACTCCGTCAGGTCGGTCGAAACCTTGATCCCTCCTGTCTGGTAATCTACCTGTGTTATCAACTGGTTGAGGATGTCGAAGTCGTCCATCCATGTTTCCTTCCAATAAATGCCCTCGGTGTGGTCTACCAAATACAATTATTACACTTACTGTATAAGAAAATACCTCGGTTGCAATCCTTTTCATAAATACAATGTATATATAGAATTATATAATACCTTATTAAATTCTAATCGTTTAATTGGCTGTTTATGGTCACGTGATATTGAATAGAAAATTCCATTTCCCAAGAGTGCAATGGAACACGTTCCATTGCACTCTCCGCGAGTGCAATGGAATAAAACGTATAGTACAATTGCACTCTTTGTGTTTTCGATAAATCGCATCCCTCAAAATGCTTCTCATACGAATCTATTAGTCTATTTTGGTATTATATAAAACAAATAATGAATGTTTCTTCGTGCAATGGTAAGAATATTTTCATTCGGTGAAAGATGGAATGTTCCATTCAACTCGGCTGTCGCCTCGTTGAATGGAACATTCCATCTTTCACCTCATGAAAATATTCTTACCATTGCACGAAGAAACATTCATTATTTGTATACTATACAATGTAGAAATGCAATACAATTGTTGCGTGCAGTGTTAATGGGTTTGTACATGGAACCAGTTGCAGTCGTCACATGTTTGTAGTCGTGATCTTGTAACTGGCGTTAGTAATTGTGTAAATAGCGCTGAACTGTTGTAATCGGGAGTTGCTGTTGAGTTGTAGTCCAGTAAAGAACACTGGTTAAGATGTTTTGTGCGTTTATTAATAACGTGCCAGCAACACATTACACAATTATAGTAGTTGGTGCATCCATAGCTAGAGCCTGCTTCATAAAGGGTAATGTTAAAACAGTTGAAGGGTATTGTAGATGGAAATTGTCGAGTGGAAATTTATAGACATTTATTAGACCTGACCAGGAACAGACTTTGCGAAAAATGCAACTTTAGGTTCCTGGCAGGAATCGAACCTGCGGTCCTCCGGTGCAGCGCTCTAACCAACACAGCCTAATAATAGAGAGGTTAAGATACCCCAGTTTCGGTGTACGGGTACGAGTAGTGTCATCTTGTTTTACTGATGTCTGTAATTCGATCATACATTTTCTGTTTTCTTGCAATAGACAATGATATAATGCGAAAAATGTGCACCTTAATTACGAGTAAAGGTACAGACATCGACGAAAATATTGCTAACCAAAATCATGCTACCCGTACACGTACACCGAAACCGGGGTATCTTAACCTCTCTAGTCTCTAATGTTAAAATGTCGTGCACGTTCGTAAATTAGTGCAATACCTGCGTTGTCCACGACCTCTGGTCCACTCTTCACGACGATCAAGCCTGCTACCATGGATACTTTCATATTCATCATGTTCTCTTCTCACAGGATGTCTGTGTCCAATGTCACCTGGACGCTTCGATAGGCGGCCTCTAGGACGTTCTCCATGAAGGTCGCCAGGACGGCCTCTACCAGAATGATCGTCAGGTCGACGTCCAGGACGATCTCCAAGATCACGTGGTCCAGGACGGTTCGGATGCTCACCAGGACGGTCGCCACGACGACCAATTTCATCTGGACGTTCTCCTAGACGGTTACCACCTGGACGTACTCCAGGACGGTCTGGCGCATCAGGGAAGTCACCACGACGTTTACCCAATCGGTCGTCAGAATGTTCACCTGGACGGTGATGATCTCGGCCATCAGGGCGATCATGACCTGTAGTGGGCTCTCTCTCATTTGAATGATTCCCCGGTCGATCTCCCGAGTGTCGTCTTCTACCTCGCCCTCTATCACTTCTCTTTCTCTCATCCAATGTTTCATGTCGATCATTTTCTTTAGTAGGCTCCAGTCTCTGTCTATAATTGCGATGTCCAATACCACGTAATCGTTTTTTAGCTTCGTGTGAATCACTGCTGGAGACCTTGCTATCTGCAAAGTCCGAACCTGAGTCACTATCGCTCTTCGTTATTTTAGCCTTAGGATCTTTCCTAAAGTATCTATTTTTACCCAAAGGTCTATCTCTATTATATGTCAAAGAAGGCGTTGTTTTCACGGTATCATCATCTTTATCAAGAGGAACAAACTCCAGATCAAATCCTACTTTATCAACAGGCTTATCAACAATACTCGCTGTCTTTACTGCATTATCAACGATACTCGCTGTCTTTACTGCATCATCAACAATACTCGCTGTCTTTACTGCATCATCAACAATACTCGCTGTCTTTACCGCATTATCAACAATAGTCGCTGTCTTTACTGCATTATCAACAATAGTCGCTGTCTTTACCGCATTATCAACAATAGTCGCTGTCTTTACTACATGATCAACAATAATATTCGCTGTCTTTACTGCATTATCAACAATAGTCGCTGTCTGTACTGCATTATCAACAATAGTCGCTGTCTTTACTGCATTATCAACAATAGTCGCTGTCTTTACTGCAGACGGTTCTTCTTCCAGTTTTTCAGCTTCAACATTGTTAGTGGAGGTATCTGTCTTGTTGTCTGTCACTTGTTTCTTTAGTCTTGGATCTCTAATGCTTTGCTTAACTGACGCTGAACCTTCAGATAATTTGGAATCAGACGAGCTTTCCTGGAATGAAAGACAATAAGCAACCACTAAACGTTATGAAATAATGTCAGGACGTGGATATAAATATTACCGTAAACCTTTGCAATATTAGCTCTAAGATTATGTACAGGGTTACGTTAATGCAACTGACAAAATGTTGTTCAAAATCGTGAAAAGAAATGACTATGCCAGATGATATTGTTGCCTATGTATATCTATAATGTACACATTCGTGGAATAATCACGGTCTAAAAAACAAACAAAAAACATCATATATATATAATAATAACCTCTGCAGAGTCCACGTCTTCTTGTTGTAATCTCATCTTCAATATCTTTTCTTTTTGTTGTTTTAAAAGGTTTTGCCGATCTTTTTCTTGTTTCTTCTTAATTAATTCATATTTCATTCGCAGTTCTTCTAGTTGCATCATTTGTAATCGCATTTGTTCTCCTTGCAATTCCTCCAGTTCTTTCTTTTTTCGCTCAAATTCGTCCATGATTTTCGCCTCATCAGATGAAGAACAACTTGTCTTACTTTCTTCAACATTTTCCTCGACCTAGATAGAGAGAATTGTTGGACTTGTTCAACAAACTGAAAACTGCACGCCTTCCAATCGAATGAAAATGAAGCACATTACAGGTTACCCGCCCTTCTGATTAGAAGTGATCGCTGCACAGAATGTTAAGACATAAAATGTATAGATGGGAGATTTAGCTACATGTATTAAGGTCGATTTACACTACAAAACAACATACGCTTAAAACTGTCATGCAACCTGCTTACAATTTGAGTTGTACTATGTCAATAGCGAGC